ACACAAGCGAGCAAGCATGCATGCAGACACAAGGAATCTAAAGCGAGCAAGCGAACGTGCGCAGATCATGCATACACACACAACGAATCCCACTTCCAAACATTCGGACGAAACGTGCACAGTCACACATACACACACAACAAATCCCTCTTGCACGAATCCCTCTTACACGAATCCCTCTTACACGAAACCCTCTACAACGAATCCATCTTACACGAATCCCTCTACACGATGAAGATGTCGTCACACACACGGAACATCTGCACACACGAAACGTGTACTCACCGCGATGAAGATGTCGTCTGGAGAATGGATCGTTCGCACGGAAATCGCAATGGCGTTCGCGACTGCCCGCGGGTTCGTTGTTCAAACAGCGGTGGACAAAGCGCGGAAGATGACGCGGGGTTGCGCATAAAGCGGGGCTGCAAAGAAAGCGGCGCGGGAGGTGATCACCGTGGCGTTGGCGAGCACGCGTGGGTTCGCTGTTCAAACAGCGGAGGACAAAGCGCAGCACTGAAAAACGCGATGGCGTCAATCACCGTGCCGTAGCGTTGGGGATGGACGACGTGGCGTTGCGCTGGGGATGGACGACGTGGCGCTGCGCTGGGGATGGACGACGTGGCGCTACGCTGGGGATGGACGACGTGGCGCAGCGCTGGGGATGGACGACGCGGCGCAGCGTTGGGGATGGTGTTCGCAAGAGCGGGAGTGCAGGTGTGCAGTCCAACAACATCTCCCCAACGAACTGTGAGTGTGCGAAATGAACACTGGGGGGCGGTTTCGATTTTCAGGCGCGCGACGGGCCTTCCCCGCGGAAGGAAAGGCTTTTTTCGAAATCGAAATCGTGGCCCCTGGTGGGGGGCGGGAACTTTTCACCCATTGGACCGGGAGGAAAAAGCGCGGGAGTTCGAGCACCGTTGGATTTGTCCAACCGACGACCACGGTCCGTGTGCGCGCAGGGCCTGCATGCGTCACGACGCGTGTGAGGGACGTTGCCGACAATCGGAAGCAAGCCTTTCCGGACGACACCAGGCGAGGGGGGGGGGGGGGGCGGAGGGGTGGCATTTTCGCTGACGGGCAGGAGGACCATTGGACTGGGCACCAAAAGGGGACAGCAAGGGAAGCCCTGAGCGAGCCGTCCGATTTGCGCATCGCAAGGCCATTTCGCGGTAGGGTGTGAGGGTACCGTGAGGCGGAACATCACACCGGAGACCGACCAGCAGGCAGCTGCACGAAAGCTCCCGCGCAAGTGGACAGCCCGGTTCACCGTCCCATTCCCTGAATTCAGTCCTGCTTCATGAAAGCTCCGCTGCGCTGCGCCATCGTCGTCATTCACCCCAAGCTGCGCCACGCCGTCCCTGTCCTCGACGAACGATCTCCAATGTGAGTCGGCTTGCGTTCGGCGGCAACGTGGCGTCCGCAAACCGTCCCGCCCCTCCACTCCCTGCCCCGTTCCCTGCGTGTGGCAAACAAGAGAGGGAGAGAGAGACAGAGAGAGAGCGAATCGGAGACAAAGGGCACGCGTGCGCGCGCGCGCGCACGCAAGAGAGAGAGAGAGAGAGAGAGAGAGAGAGAGAGAGAGAGAGAGAGAGAGAGAGA